GGTCAATGTGGGGTTAAAGGCTCAAACGACATGCACCCTCTAAAAGTGTTTTTTTTCCTGCTTCTGCATTAACAAGAAGCTTTCCTCCATGTCCTGTTTACTTGACAGCAGAGATTACAAGATGGAAACACAGTCTGACCCATGGCTAAAGTGGTTTTAAGAGCCAAAATAATGTAAACAGGCAGAATACCAGGCTGCTCTGTGCAAGCAAGGAGTTCTCTCTCAATCGACAGCTATTTTTGGTTCCAGCTGTTCTCACTGGTTACAATTTAGAGACACCCCACTTCGATTTGGGTGCATGAGAATTAGGAAGAAATGGTCAACAAATCTTCAAGGCAGATTTTTAAAAAATACAGCAAGCAAATCAGCAAGTGTGTAGGAAAGCCGCTGTCAGATTCTTCCATCATGTAACCCAGATTGTGGATCCATCATCATCAGCGATTGAGGAATTCTGTCTTTGCAAATCTGAATATGATCGGCTCTGATCCATATCTTCCAGGGATTTCACATTTCTCTGAACATTATATAGAACTTACCAACTCAAGAAGCACATCAAAACGCATTTATAAATACAAATTTTGAGAAAAAATACATCTAGAAAAGTGCATTTTTGGAAAAATATATTTAGAATGCATATTTAAAGACTTATGCACATTTTTTTTATTGCTTTCTAAATTGGAGATTGATACGGAAATGGGATGGAATGAACTTCTAAGAGAAGACATGTAAAGGTGACACAGACTGGAAACAGAGTGACTCATTCATCCCTTGGTAAGTTTCCTGTGGTGTTCTGAATACGGATGGGGAGAAATTCGATTCAGTTCACAGTTACAGGCAAACCTAACCCAATTCAAACTTTCTGAAACAATATGTGGACTTCAACACAGCCATCCTCGTCATCTTGCAATGCAGTACTCCAGCCAAAAATGTATTATATAAAACGGAATTGCTTTGCAAAATTCCCACTAAAATGTTGCTGAATTTTCACAATGACTTTTTTAAAAAAAGAAATAAAAATAATCATCATAATTACAAACTGATGTGGGAAGGCGGAAAAATGTATCTCAAATACTACCTCCTTCCCTACAAACCTTCTAGGGTGCTAAGATCAGCAAAGGGGGCCTCTCTTGGTAATTCCTCTGGACAGTTATCCAAACTGACAGATTGGTTAAATGCTAGACATTTAATCAGTTCAACTATCTTTAACTGATTGATAGCCTTCTATCAATCCAAGTCCATAAAATCACACCTATTAGTACAGGGTCACATGACCATCTGAGACCACTGCATCAGTATTTTGTTCTAGTATGCGTGCTTGTGGCATTTGCCTCCTAGGTGGGTCATAAGGACAGGGTTAAATGAGTGTGAAGTGATTGGCCAGTGGGAACCCAAGGGGAGGAGTTAGAGTTAGAGTTGGTGTTGTTAGAAAGTCAGTTGAGAGTTGGGAGGTAGAGAAGGAAGAGGGAGGATAAGTCTGTGGGTTGGTCAAGTTGTGTTGTGAGAGAGTGAGAGGAACTGTTAGGTGGAGTCAGATAGTTGGGATAATCAGTTTGAAGTTGTTAGGAACGTATAGGTCAGTAAAGAAACTAAGATTAAGAAACTGACAAGAAAAATTAACTGAAACCATAAACTTGTTCATGCTTATAAAATAAACTTGATTATTTGTTAATGTTAACAACTGTCTGGACTCCATGTGTACCCGAGAGAAACGGGTTGGTGGCAGTGAGGAGGCAATCACAGTGGTGGCACAGGGATCAATAGACCGTCAAACGTCTGGGGACCCTGTGTGATCGCCACAGTGCTGCTCTGACATAGGCTGAGTCAGTCATCTATGAGTTCCCCAGCAAGCTGAGATCCGATCGTCTAGCCCTGCACCATCACACTTGTAGGCTTTCAGACCTTTGTGGAAGGCCTGTCTCTGTCTCAGTATATGGCAAATATCTTTGATCCCATACATTCTGCCCACAATGTCACAGGTGGTGGAAGTCAATGCAGGTTGACCAATAATGGAAGCTGCCTTAGGGTCAATGGGCTGGATTAGAGAAGGCATGAAAACTGTTTCACCTGCCTATTTTGCCCTTGATCCAAAGAGAGCCTAGATTCTCTCTGTAGCTTGTAATAAATATGTTTGCATATGAGAAAGTATCTCACAGCACCATTTCTCCAGCTTATGGGAGCAAGAATAGAAATACACAGTTCTGTGAACCGCCCTAAGACCTCCAGGTATATGGGGGTATATAAATTCAAGAAATAATAATAATAGTAATTTTTTGGCATCAACTCTTCTACTGTTCACTGGAGTGGCAGTGATTTTTTAAAAATAGTAGTAGTAGTACTGTAGTAATAGTAGTAGCAATAATAATAATAATAATAATAATAATAATAATAATAATAATAATAATATTCCCCTGCTAGCTTTGGCTTCTGATAGTTCAGGTGTAAGAAGTACCTTCTGGAAGAAGCTGAATGCATGTTATTTACTTATTAAATAAGCACCTGCATTCTTCCCCTCCACCATAAGGTGTTCAAGGTGCCTCACCATGACAATTAGGAATAACAGACATAGGAATAATATAGTGCAATAAAACAATCAATTCTTTAAAACTCTACAATAAAATGAATGCTTTCTTAAGCCATCAAGATGTATGGTGATGTTATACTATACTATCTCTCTTCCCCCACCACTGTATTTATAGCATGTTTTAATTTTTGCATTTTAAAAAGGCTCCTGTCTGTCCTGAGTCTAACAGTAATTAAACACACACACGCACACACAATTCAGCACATAATTTTGCAGACAGCACATTCTGTCTGCAGATTGTTCAAGCAGAGATTGTAACACCATAAAACTCGAAGAGGTATTCTCACAGTTTGAAAAATTGAAAGAGGACTTCACATCAGTCTCTTTATGTATATCTCCTGGTTCTTAATTAGGAGTATTCTTAACTGGGGTGCTAAAAACGGCTAAGTTGTTAGCCCAGCTACAAATGGTAAGAGCAGGGTCTTTCTGAGTTATTAGTTCAATAAAATTGGTTAATGATGGTTCTATTACATTTAACTCCTCAGCACATTAACAAAAAAATCTCAAGACAGTATTTAAAGTAGCACAAAAAGTCAAGATATTTACAAGTCACAGCCAAACCAGAAAGCAGCAGGGAGTTTTGCTCAGACAAAAGCATTGCGAGGTGGGGAGAAATCAGGGTGGTGTCAAGGTGTTCAACAATATAAACCTGTGCGAATTTGGGTCCATGGTACCTGAAGGACCACCTGAGCCATTATATCCCAGCTCAATCGCTGAAATCATCTGTAGAAGCACCATTGTCCCTAGTGGTACAGAGGCCTGAGAGGCCACAGCTAGAAGCCAGGCTTTGAGTGTTGCATGTTCCAATCTTTCAGCAGAAACACAGCAGCCATCCTTGCTTTTGGCTTTCCCATGTCTTTTGGCAGAACTTTAGATGCCAGCAGACTTTTTGCAGCTGTTTAATTTTTATTGTTATTATTTTAATGGCTATTTGCAGAGTTTTGCATCTCGCTTTCAGGCCGAGGGAGACGGCATTTGTCCACAGACAGCTTTCCAGGTCATGTGGCCAGCATGACTAAACCACTTCTGGCGCAACAGAAACCAGAGAGCATGGAAAAACAATTTACCTTCCAGCTGCAGCGGTACCTATTTATCTACTTGCACTGGCGTGCTTTCAAACTGTTAGGTTGGCAGGAGCTGGGACAGAGAAACGGGAGCTCACCCCATCGCGGGGATTTGAACCGCCAACCTTCTGATTGGCAAGCCCAAGAGGCTCAGTGGTTTAGACCACAGCGCACCTGCGTCCCTGGTTGTTGCCAATGCTAGTCCTACTCAGAGTAAACCCAGTGAAGTTAACAGACATGACTAACTTAGGTTTATTCTTTTCAGTGGATCTACTTTGAGTAGAACTTAGTTGGATATAATCCTGTGTCCTGCTTTCTTGCCTAACAACATGTTATGTGTTCTAGATACCATGACAAATCATAGCTAGGTCACCTTTCCCTAAGCCAGACCCTACCTCAAGGAGAGGAATATTAAGCAGATGGTACTGCTTCTTCAGAAGGGACGTGGATGGCGCTGTGGGTTAAACCACAGAGCCTAGGACTTGCTGATCAGAAGATTGGCGGTTCGAATCCCCGCAACGGGGTGAGCTCCCGTTGCTAGGTCCCAGCTCCTGCCAACCTAGCAGTTCGAAAGCACGTCAAAGTGCAAGTAGATAAATAGGCACCGCTCCAGCAGCAAGGTAAACGGCGTTTCCGTGTGCTGCTCTGGTTCGCCAGAAGCGGCTTAGTCATGCTGGCCACATGATCCGGAAGCTGTACGCCGGCTCCCTCGGCCAATAAAGCGAGATGAGTGCTGCAACCCCAGAGTCGGCCACAACTGGTCAGGGGTCCCTTTACCTTTACTGCTTCTTCAAGCAGGTATTCATTCATTCATTCATTCATTCATTCATTCATTGTACTCATAGCATATCCTTCATCAATTGAACCACAGAAGGTTGCTACTATTCCTCCTCAACACTGAACACAATGAGCATCCCCTCACCACACACACTTTTTATGACTTGGTTCATTGCCATCTCACCTCACGCAATCCCTATTCAAGTTTTATGTCTACTTGCATTCAGAAAACGCTTGGAGGAGAAGGAGAGCTGCGCACATCACTCATGCTCTCCATGTCACCAGCGGCCCCACTTCCAGGAGATTCACAGTGAGTTCAGCTGAGATCAGAGAGCAGTCAGGGGACACAGACAGCTGGAATCCTTGCTTTTAACATTATACGGAAAAATAATCATAAATTTAGTGGGTATCTACCTACCATAGGTTTTTCATGAACGCAACTCCTTTTGGGAAAATGAGTGGTATAATTGATATAGTAAATATAATTGATTCATATAGCTTGGTATGCTAAGCTTGGGAAAGTTCGTCTGAACAGAATAACTATTAAATGCTTTCTCGAGTCAATTGAAAATCCATACCTAGAGAGTACTTTTTAATGGGTTCTTCTCCAGCTGGCAAGAGGTAGCATGTGCGGTCCCTCAGCACTCTGTTGTGGTCCAGATGCTGTTCAACGTGTTCAGTGATGAAAATGTAGAGAGAAGTCCCATGAAGTTTGAAAAGTTTGACAATGCTGGTTCGGACGGAGGACAGTTGGATTGGCAATGATTAGAACTCAAGCCAAGCTTCATCAGTGGGCAAACTGATCTGAAAAACATCAAGATAGCAATTAAAGGTTTACAATGGAGAAGCAGAAGAAGCAGAAGAAGCAGAAGAATAAATATAGTGGAGGAAATAATAGTTCAAATATATTCCTACGGCAATGATTAGTGAATGTAAATTTGACCATTTGAAGGCTTTATTTCTGATTCTTATAGAAATGTTGTATTATCTCACTACATACCCACAGAGCCTATGAGCTGCCCCCTTGGCAGGCCCATGCAGAGCTTACCTGAGTCCCAAGACGGGGCTCTTGTTAGCCAGTTTAGCCTTCCAAAGTCTTGGACAAGTGTATCTGGTTGCTCACCCTCCTGTACGAGCTGGCTCCTTGGCCATGTGGTGGTGAGGTCGGTTACTTTTCTCTCTCTTAAGAAGTACACAGCGCTGTAGGAGGAAGTTGGAAAACAGATATTGTCTTCCACTTCTTCTTTCAGCTCTATGTGCTTTTCAAGGCTCAGATTAATTCTACTGGATCAAACTTTCACCCAAGTCCACTGGGAAAGCGAAGTTTTCACTCTCTGTTGGGGGGCAGTTGAACTGGGGAACAGGTGAGAGAAGTGATCAGAGGTGGAGGTTTTGCTCAAAAATCTGAATGTGCCCATAGGCCTTAACTATCCCTACTGACTCAGACTACTGATTCAGAAGAAGCCCCGAAGACATTATTATATTAAGATAATTATGGCCTTTCACATAATAAATGTATTGGTGCTGACCTTTAAAGCCCTAAACAGGCTCAGCCCAGTATACCTGGAGAGCGTCTCCACCCCCATCATTCATCCCAGACACTGAGGTCCTCCTCTGAGGGCCTTCTGGCCATGGCTGTCAACGTTTCCCTTTTTTAAAGGGAAATTCCCTTATTCCGAATAGGATTCCTCGCAAGAAAAGGGAAAAGTTGACAGTTATGCTTCTGGCAGTTCCCTCCCTGTGAGAAGCGAGGTTACAGGGAACCAAGCAGAGGACCTTCTCAGTAGTGGTGCCCGCCCTGTGGAACGCCCTCCCTCAGATGTCAAGGAAATAAACATCTATTTGACTTTAGAAGGCATCTGAAGACAGGGAGGTTTTTAATGTTTGAGGTTTTATTGTTTTTCAATATTTTATTGGAAGCCGCCCAGAGTAGATGGGCAACATCATTATGTCTCAGGCAATAGCTTCTTCACTACAGCCTTTAAGTTTCATTCTCACTGCACCCATAGCCTCCGACATTCTCTGATGGAAATTGGGACATCCTTAGGAAAAGCGGGACATTCAGGGTCAAATCAAACTGGGACAGCTTCTGTAAATCCAGGACTGTCCCTGGAAAATAGGGACACTTGGAGGGTCTGCTGCCTCTTCCCATATTTTTCTCTCACACTGCATTTGGGTTGCATCCATACCCTACATTTAAAGCACTCTTATAGAACTGCATGTAGCCAGGGCTTCCGGCACAGAATCACTGGAACTGTAGTTTGTGGAATACTCTTCCGGGGGTGGCTCACCTGGGGCCTTCGTTGATTATCTTCAGGCGCCAGGCAAAAAACCCATTCCACTACTCCCACGATTTCGTTGGGGAGATGTTGTTTTTGTTTGTTACTATGTTATGCGTTAAGGGACGCGGGTGGCTCTGTGGGTTAAACCACAGAGCCTAGGGCTTGCCGATCAGAAGGTCACGGTTCAAATCCCCGTGACGGGGTGAGCTCCTGTTGCTCGGTCCCTGCTTTTCCCACCTAGCAGTTCGAAAGCACATCAAAGTGCAAGTAGATAAATAGGTACCGCTCCAGCGGGAAGGTAAACGGCGTTTCTGTGCGCTGCTCTGGTTCGCCAGAAGTGGCTTAGTCATGCTGGCCACATGCTGTATGCCAGCTCCCTTGGTCAATAAAGCGAGATGAGCGCTACAAGCCCAGAGTCGTCCACAACTGGACTTAACGGTCAGGGGTCCCTTTACCTTTACCTTTATGTTATGCATTTTTGTGAGTTTTTTTTATTGTAAACTGCCCTGTGATCTTCGGATGAAGATTGTTATGGAAATTTAGTAAATTATGATGATGATGATTATAGCAACGACAATCATTTACGAAGGCTTCTGAGAGTTGTTTAGAGACCCCCCCACTCCCCCCACAGAGCTGCAGTTTTCAAAATTGCTTAACTAACCGTCCCTCTTCCCAGGGAACTCGGAGAATTGAAACTCTGTAAGGGGTACAGGGATCTGGCAACTCAGCCCCCCCGTAGCAAACTACAGTTCCCAGGATTCTGTGAGGGTTAATAAAGTGGTACAAGAGTGCTTTAAATGTTTGGTGTGGCTGTGGCCTTGGCCTACTCTCCTTGAAAGGTGGAAGAGCATCATCTCACCCTGGAAGCAATGCAGGGGTACAAGTCAGTCAGGAGTTACACATATCAAAGCCATAGTTTAAAATCTGCATTGGGAATATGGCAATTATCTGCTCTCACCACATTTCTCAGCCCTGACTGAGGTTTAATTAAAACCAAGTTAAACACACACACACACACACACACACACACACACACACACAATCTCTATTTCAGATATCACCCGACTGCATACCGTTCCTATTTTGAAAAGGGGAAATAAAGCTTTTATCACAGAGTTTTTAATTTACTGAGAGAGCCTTCCAGTTCAGCTGGATATTATTCGCTCATAATATTTCCTTTAAAGAAATATATATATAAATTAGCTAATCCCCCATAATCTCCTTGAGTTGCACCTAAAACACAGTTTCTTCCAAGTGACCTTTTTGAGAAAGGCTGTTTCTATGGCAACGGCATTGTTCGATTCAGTCAGGAGGAAAAAAATTCCGGTATGGAGGGGGGGGGAAACACACTTAATTTTGCTGCTTTTGATGCCACATTTAATGCTGACAACATGCCAATGAGGCCAAACCATACCCTCTTCTGTGTTTTCGGAGCCATTTTGGATGGAAAAGCAATGACCCAGCGCAGAAAATGTCGATCTCCCTCCACATTTTACAGGTGTGTGTGGGGAGACCTGTGTGTTTAACAGAGGGGGCCATTATTACTACTCAGACTGACCTCTTGCATAAGACAGCTCATAAAAAACTCAAGCTGTAATTATTGAGGTAAGGCGATAACTTTTGGTTCAACTACTGCAGATCTCTGGGGACAAAATCAGAGAATGTATAAATACACAGGGTTTTCCGGCATACCCAGGCAAACTTTATTGCTCACAGCCAAAGGCCACCACAATCCAATATAGTTTTCCACTACTCTGGGAATTTGGTTCTTCGTGTGTGTGTGTGTGTGTGTGTGTGTGTGTGTGTTCAGAACCACATTTTCTTAGGTAGCAGGCAAAGCTTAATGATCTGGTCTCACTTTTCTTTTGCTCAAAAACTGAAAGGGAAACCAAGTCAGAATGGCCTTGAGATTCCAAACCCTTGTACTGCTCTATTTATCACTATTTTCCAGGGTTTCCATCACCTACCTAAAGATCCTGCTGCACAAGAACGCTTGAAAGATTGAATACGCAGCATTATCTTTCAGTAGACGATGGAGAGTTTGGGGGAAATTTTGCAAATTCTAAGGATTTGGGGGATTCTAGTGTTAACTGATCTGACCTGCACCTTCCAAACTAATGTGCAGATCAGAATGTATTGAATCCTTCAGTTTCTGCACGTCTCTGAATTTTGCAATGCAGTTCTCAGAACACAGGATGTCCCAATATGCATATTTTAAAAATGCATATTTTAGGGTAAGATACATTTGAAATGCCTGCACCGATATAAATTCAGAGATCTTCATTTTGAAAAACTGCAGATTAATGCAGGAACAGACTTGGAAACAAACACATTGGAAGTGACACCTTGCCTAGTACTGCAAAGCTCTGCCACTCTGCCTACAGATTCCTCTGGCTCCACCAACTGGGAAGCAATTGCAGTGCTATGGTAGCTGCATGAGAACAGTTCTTGGAGCAAACAGAAAGCAGGCCACGACTGAAATAAACTCTTATTTCTACTAACCTTAACCTCCATTTTATCTCGGCTAGAGAGAAGAGAGAGGGAGGGAGGCTGGGTCTACAGCAGAAAAAGGTGGAAGAACAAACTGCAACACCTCAAAATGTAGGGGTGTTTGTGGGGTACACCGTTTTGTGCACCCCCATGTGAAAGAAATCCCTTGCACACAGAGGAAACTTCGATTCAGCTTTAAACAGTTGTGTTTTCAAATGGCCTCCACCTTTCCGCAGAAGGAAATCACCTAGATCAGCAGCTAGGGATATATATATATATATATATATATATATATATATATGCAGGTTTTGGTGTCCTCGGGTGTCTTCCCGTGTAAAAGTTGGGGTGTCTAGGCGACGTTTCGACGAGGTCTCCAACTTTTACACGGGAAGACACCCGAGGACACCAAAACCTGCATTCCTGTACCCGTGAAAATCTACGAAAGCAAATATATATATATATATAAATATATATATATATATATATATATATATATATCCCTGTTTGCAAACTGATCAAGGCTAACCACATCACGGACAGGCTGATATAGCATGTTGTGACTAACTGCATGTATAAAGTAATCTCTCTCTTTTTTAAAAAAAGTATTTATACTTTTCAAGTTTATACAATTCACTGATTTTACAATCATTTTGACATTTCAAAACTTGACTTCCTTCCCCCTCTTCCTGCCATTCCTTAAATTTATTTTTAATATCTTCTGCATATCCTAATTAACTTAATTTGCTCATTTATTCATCTTCTGTGAATATACACTCTTATGAAACTGCAGGTTATTACAATAATCCTGTTAATGTTTCTATCTGTTTACAATTTATCTGTGAATATTCACTAAACCATTTCCATTCTTTTATAAAAAGTTTGTTATCTTGATTTCTTATTCTTCTAGTAAGTTCCACCATTTCTGCATATCCCATAAGTTTCTGTATCCATTCTTCCTTTGCTGGGACTACTTCTTTCCATTGTTGGGCAAGTAACATTCTTGCCGCTGTAGTCTCATACATGAATAAATTT